ATCAACGAATCACAGCATTCACAGCGCTTCTACGGTTCACAGCAACTCCCATAATCCACAAAGGCGAAGATCAGCAAATCCACGAATTTTGTGCGGATTTTCTGATCTCTTCCGGGAACGGCTAAAAACCTCTAATAATCCCCGAAAGGCCATGGATTATAAGCAGGTAATTCCTCTGAAAATCCGCAAGACACCCCAAACGATTTTTTTCCAGGATACCGCAATTATTTTTAGACAAAGGCGTGCTTAAAAGCAGCCATATCTTCCAATTCACCAGCATTACTTCAAGCAAGCCTGACTGCTGAGGATACCGAGTGTCAAGATCAGTCCAGAGTTTGCTTGTGTTGGAACCGATGCTGCTGAAATGATTCACTCCCAGAAGGCCGTGTGACTAATGTAATGTGTGAAACATGTAAGTAGTAAAAAAGAAATATCACTTGTTTTTACACGGAGGGTCAGACATGTGGAGGAGGAGTATTGTCTGCTTTTTAATTTGTTACAGAGAGAGAAGAACGAGGCAGGTGATGTAGGAATGTTTCCGAGGAATATGATTCAGGCTATGAATTATTTGGAAGAATAACGGTATTGCAGCTAGACACATTTGATGATTGTATTATACTTAGTACTGTGTATACCATATAACAATAATAACCATTTAGCAAAATGGAATAGCTGCACTGACCATTACATAAAGTACCAAAAAATACTAATCAAAAGGGGAGTCCCCTTTCTCCAAAGTTATTCACAGTGGCATTTGAAGAATAATGTGAATTAAATTATAGAAACAAAGGCCGACATTTTAATGGAGAAAACATTAACCGTATCAGATTTATCATGGCACGATCATGAGAACGTCCTTTGAGAATGAGCTGCAGAAAATGTTTGAAGAAATTAGTGGGTGCGGATGCAAAGTTGGGCTACACAAAAAAACAGAGGTCATGCGCAACAAGTTCACAAAAACAAATGGGGATAGCGGTCAGAGGGATAAACTGGAAAGCACAGTTGAACATATTTCTTGGTTCTTTCGGTAAAAGTCACGTAGAAGGGAAACAATAAAATAATAAAAATATAAAACAATAAAATTCTCAAATTTTTTAACATGTGCACCTGGGACAGCTGTGGAAGGTGACCAAAATTTAAACTTTTAAATAAATAGGCAAACACGAGCGGTTTGGAGTGCTTTAGGAAAGCTAAGTTGGTAATGAAAAGTAAGGATATCGACGTGGCTGAAAAAGAAGCTTTTCATCAATGCATACTACTTGCTGATCACCTCGAGATACAAACATACGTAGGACGATGTAATCATACAAAGTTCAACACTCGTGGGGGGCCCAAATTTAATGTTGGTTTTCAGATTTTTGAATCAAAGTGCATCTGTAATGAGATGGTATCCACCATGTGCAGCTTATTTTTGTCCTTAAAATATATTCACATCATTAATAAGTTACTATTTCCAGTAGACAGAATATATTAGTATGCAGGGCAAATACAGCATTTAACCCACCCTGTATAAATGACAAATACATTTCTACCCTGTTCGCAAGTAAGCACGTTTTTGAAATAAGTATACTGTACATGGGCCTTTCCCATAGATCTTCCAATTAACTTTTATTTACTAATTTCAATGTAAAATTTATTGGAAATCGAGTAATAAGCACTGCTAAAGTACTGAAATTGTGTCTTTCTAGTCTTTTCAAACCATCATTATATCATTTATATCAGTCGCTCGGTCAATGAATGTCCGTGATGGTATTACGGACGATGATGGTGACATATTTATGGCATGGGCGTGGAAATGGCACAGCAGTAGAGGGTGCGCTGGTTGTTTCCAAGGTTCATGGTCAGAATCCAGTGGCCACCCTGATTATTACTGCAGGTGTGATAACCGTAATAATACGACGCTCCGTCTGTTTGACGGCAGACGTTCAAGCTCCCCTGACGTCACACGCAAGTTGAGGCCATTGTGTGCCAGTGTGAGGGTCTAAATTTGCCAAATTCGATCATTATTCAATTAGAATTATAGCAATCACAGCCTCTTAATGGCAGACTAATGCTCCAGGTATCTTTGCAAATGAGACTACCCTGGTTTCTTGAGTTCTCATCTGGTTTAACAAAAGAAACTTGAACTTGGTACAATTAATTATACAAAAATAAACCTTCAATTATGCATAGTGTTATTTATATTTTTGCGGTTCGTTCTGCAAATGATTTATCTTGGTGTACTGTATACAACTGTGAGTGTCCAATTGTATATTTCTTGGAACATGAAAAGACGAAAAATATTTACCACTCTAAAACAATGAAGGTGAATCATAACACTCGAATGTTAATACAAATGCACGGACCTGAACATTTCATTGAATGATTTAGAAAAGCCCAATTTGAAATTAAACTTGCAACATCAACCTGAATTTACATTTGACCACCAGGTCTCAAATATAGTACGGTATTCTACATTTCAGAGGCTGTTAGATATCACATTGCGAAATCTAAGGCACCAAACGATTTGTGATTCTGTAGAGTTGTAGTTTTGCTCGTGTGTGTGTATTCCACAATATAGACTGCACAGTATTCCAACCTTTAAGTTTGTACAATCAAATGAACAGGAATATTTGCATCCATTTCAAATTATACGTATGGAATGTGCCTAAAATAGCACTGCAATTTTTGTGCATTTGCAACAAACTCGGAAGTGATAAATAATACAGAGCTTGTAATAACCCGTTATACAGTACTGTATTCAATCTTGATTTGAAGTTTTCGTGACTGCAGGGATCCATACTCTTTGGTTCTTTCGGGAAAAGTCACGTAGGTAGAAAATAAAATAAATTAAATCACGACGGACGCTTGTGTTGCGCCCGAAACGTCGTGATTTAATTAATTTATTTTATACCTGCGCGACGTATACTTTATAATATAGACAAACATATTATTGCTATGTTTTTATTACACAAATTAACTGCTTAGAGATACGTAGAGCTTAACTATTGGGTATCTCGTCTTTCGGATGGAGTCATGTCAACAGTCACGTGACCCCCATCTGACCTTCAATTGACACTACTATCCAATGCACCGCTCAAACACTCACTAGATTATCACCAGTCACCTGACACTCTCCACCTCAACTGACACTCAATACCCACCACACACACACACACAACAAACCAACGAGTACTAACTGAGGCGGTATAGGTGGCATAAGTACACAGAATAACACATTCCTGCGGAGGGACCTGGTAGGAGCTTTGGGTTGTTCGGTCAATGGCCAGGGTCAACGGCGGCACCACGTGGTGTATTCCGCAAATATGCCCGACTGTGAGGGCGGGCACAAGCCGGCGTGAGTAGGTTAAACGTTGAGTTTTATAAGGGCACCACGGGGTGACCAGCCCCTCCCCACCCAGCCCCACCCCTCCCACCCCCCACCCAGCCCCTCCCTCCCCACCCAGCCCCTCCCCACCCTCCCCTCTCCACCCAGCCCCACCCATTTTTGGATGCACGACAGACGGACGGACACAACAATAATCCCCTGTGGGCTGGTGGTGTAACCAGGAGGTTCCCACCACTATAACCGTGTGCTTCATACAGCAAGCAGTGTACACACAACTCGCACAACTGGTCTGAAGGTCAGAATCAATAAAATAGGCTCCGGGATTTATTCAGGATTGGTTTTTTTTTTACGGCCTCACCCAAATAAACGTGATAAATCACCGATGGCCTGACAGACACATTACGTTCTAAATACGCATGCACGCATATCCGTCAACCCACACGGTTTACCCATATTCTTGATTTGAAGCTTTCGTGACTGCAGGAATTCATACTCTTTGGTTCTTTCGGTAAAGTCACGTAGGTAAAAAAATAAAATAAATCACGACGTTTCGGGCGCGGCACAAGCCCCGGGCCACTTCTTCATGACCCTTGGGCTACACCCATTTAAAACCTTTTAAAACAGTCTGCATCAGCAGCAGGACCGTGCTCTCCCACATGACGACGGGCGCTTGTGTTGCGCCCCAAACGTCGTGATTTATTTTATACCTACTACGTGACTTTACCGAAAGAACCAAAGAGTATTTACCCGCATTCTTGCACAAGGAAATTTAGTTTTCAGGTCCATACGGCATACAGCCGTTTCAATACGGGGCAACATTTTTTTTGTTGTCTATTTGTTTGTGTATTTCTCCCTTGTGATGGGACTTTGTAGGATGAACGTTGAGATTTATAAGGGGCACGGGATGACCAATAAGGTCTGAATTGGTCTGTAATGAGGTAGGCACTGATAAGGGGTTGACAGGTATGTGCACTGCAAGTCAGCTCATCCAATGGCCAGGACGAATCATCTCCACCCTGCTCACTCCCTGTTGGCCATTACACATTCGGGCCCTGCACCTCAAACTACCGTCCCTACCTTTCCCCTGTTGGCTTAGACCCACGGCCCGGCTGATCCTCACTATCCAGATGGCACCACCACTCACCATCGCAAAGACTCGATCCTCACCAATCACAAGGGCAAACTCACCCCTTACCTGGCGCTTTACCAGACACATTCACATTCAACGGGGCACTTGCGCAGCGCGTTTCACGCAGCGTGCCACGCAATATACTTCGGAGCGGTTGGTCGCGGCTTTTTGCATCTTGTTAAAAGATCCTAGCCGTACAAGGGCCAGATTCAATCCATAGTATTGCCAGGAATGAACCCTGAGTGGATGATGTACGATGCATATTGCTCAATCAAGGGCTATGACAGACGGACAGATGGAGCTGCGTCCATTTCGTACTGCTAATTCAGCTTTACATGCAATGTTGCTGCAGTTCAATTTGTTCGGGTACAGAGGTCACGCATTCACGATGTGCAATGCGCAGATTGCACATCGTGTATGTTTTGCACGTTGATAAATGGTGAAATGTGACCTTTGCCAAGGCGTGTTATTTTCGAGCGCACGCAACACAAGACACTGAGACCGTGGAGGTGGCGAGGCATGAACGAGCAGGACCGCGAGTACCTGGATCTCCCTGGCGTGGTACGCGACGACCAATCCGAGCAGAATGATGGTCGATAGCGTGATAAGGCATTTGAGAGCTAAAGAATAATGCGACTCCTGCAAGCGCACACAACGTGGACCACGGGAACACATCTCATCACTGCTCTTAGCGCAACCCGGCTCACACCGCGATGTGATAAAGACAAAGATCCACCTCCACCCCCCACCCCCCCCCCGTGTAGCCTTCGCAGACTGTAGGGGCAAGTGCTGTCCGCGAGCACCTGTAAAGGCCGGCACGGCACACGAGTAAGGTGGGCGGCCAACACCACGCCCGGCCGCCTTTGTCTCCCTCGTGGCGATGTTTTACTACACACCGCACAGGGGGTGCGCATTTGATGCCGAGTCAACCTAGGGGAGGCCCGGGACCGGTTGCAAAAAATCGTCGCCGGTGTTCTTGGCCGTGAGCGGTGGCCAGGTTTCGTTGCGTAGTGCACGCAGACGACTGCGTCCGCCCGTGAATGTGCAACATTCCCTGTAACGGGTGGGATCTCTGCATGAACCGACGCGAAGATCAGCGAGACGACACTGCGCCAATTCAATAATGAGCCGGGCGAGAGAGGCATTGTACACACATCGTGATGGTGAGATCACGGAAATTCATCACGGGGGGGGGGGAGGTGGCGGGGGTGGTACCGTTCACGATTTGTCGCGGCGCCGGGCGCTCGGCGGCCGCCTGTGTGGAACACGAAACACGAAACACAACACACACAACACACACACAACACACACACAACACACAACGCGTAAACACAACACACACACACAACACGAACACATAACACACACATAACACACACACAACACACACAACACGAACACACACACAACACACACAACACGAACACACAACACGAACACACAACACGGACACACAACACGAACACACAACACGCAACACACACAACACACGCACACACAACACGAACACAACACGCAACACACAACACGAACACACAACACACGCAACACACAACACGAACACACAACACGCACACACAACACACACAACACGAACACACAACACACAACGCGAACACACAACACGAACACACAACACGCACACACAACACACACAACACGAACACACGAACACACAACACGCAACGCGAACACACAACATACACAACACACAACATACACAACACAAACACACAACACACACAACACGCACAACACACACAACATGCACAACACGAACACATAACACACAACACGAACACACAACACAACACACAACACGAACACAACACGAACGCACAACACAAGACGCACCACCACCACACAACACGAACACACACACATCACAAGACGCACCACAACACACAACACAAGACGCACCACCACACACAACAGAAGACGCACCACCACACACAACACAAGACGCACCACCACACACACCACAAGACGCACCACCACACACAACACAAGACGCATCACCACACACACACAACACAAGACGCACCACCACCACACACAACACAAGACGCACCACCACACTCAACACAAGACGCACCACCACACACAACACAAGACGCACCACCACACAACACAAGACGCACCACCACACTCAACACAAGACGCACCACCACACTCAACACAAGACGCACCACCACACAAGACGCACCACCACCACACACAACACAAGATGCACCACCACACTCAACACTAGACGCACCACCACACACACACAAGACGCACCACCATACACACACAAGACGCACCACACACACTCAACACAAGACGCACCACCACACAAGACGCACCACCACACAAGACGCACCACCACACACAACACGAGACGCACCACCACACTCAACACGAGACGCACCACCACACACAACACAAGACGCTCCACCACACACAACACAAGACGCACCACCACACACCACACAAGACGCACCACCACACACAACACAAGACGCACCACCACACACAACACAAGACGCACCACCACACACATCACAAGACGCACCACCACACATTAACAAGACGCACCACCACACACATCACAAGACGAACCACCACACACAACACGAGACGCACCACACACACAACACGAGACGCACCACACACACATCACAAGACGCACCACCACACTCAACACAAGACGCACCACACACACAACACAAGACGTACCACCACCACACACTACACAAGACGCACCACCACACAACACAAGACGCACCACCACACACAACACAAGACGCACCACCACACACACACAAGACGCACCACCATACACACACAAGACGCACCACCACACACAACACAAGATGCACCACCACACACACCACACACTCAACACAAGACGCACCACCACACTCAACACAAGACGCACCACCACACACACACCAGACGCACCACCACACACACACAAGACGCACCACCACACACACACAAGACGCACCACCACACACACACAAGACGCACCACCACACACACACAAGACGCACCACACACAAGACGCACCACCACACACACCACAAGACGCACCACCACACACACACAAGACGCACCACACACACACACGACGCACACCACACAAGACGCACCACCACACTCAACACAAGACGCACCACACACACAACACAAGACGCACCACCACACACAACACAAGACGCACCACCACACACAACAACACAAGACGCACCACCACACACATCACAAGACGCACCACCACACACAACACAAGACGCACCACCACACACACCACACAAGACGCACCACCACACACAACACAAGACGCACCACCACACACAACAACACAAGACGCACCACCACACACATCACAAGACGCACCACCACACACAACACAAGACGCACCACCACACACATCACAAGACGCACCACCACACACACATCACAAGACGCACGACCACACTCAACACAAGACGCACCACCACACACAACACAAGACGCACCACCACACACAACACAAGATGCACCACCACACACTACACAAGACGCACCACACACACAACACAAGACGCACCACCACCACAACACAAGACGCACCACCACACTCAACACAAGACGCACCATCACACTCAACACAAGACGCACCACACCCACTCAACACAAGACGCACCACCACACACAACACAAGACGCACCACCACACAAGACGCACCACACACAACACAAGACGCACCACCACACACAACACAAGACGCACCACTACACACAACACAAGACGCACCACCACACACATCACAAGACGCACCACCACACACAACACAAGACGCACCACCACACACATCACAATACGCACCACCACACACAACACAAGACGCACCACCACACACATCACAAGACGCACCACCACACTCAACAACACAAGACGCACCACCACACACAACACAAGACGCACCACCACACACAACACAAGACGCACCACCACACACAACACAAGACGCACCACCACACACAACACAAGACGCACCACCACACAACAACACAAGACGCACCACCACACTCAACAACACACAGCGACCTCCGCACATCCTCATCATCATCAGCAGCAGCATGCGCATAAGCGCACACCGGGCCATGCCCCCCACGGGCTCCGTGGTGATGTGGGACGACGACGAAGACAAATACCGCTGGGGAAGAGAGGGGAAGAGAGAGAGAGGTAGAGAGAGAGGTAGAGAGAGAGATAGAGAGAGAGAGGTAGATAGAGAGAGGTAGATAGAGAGAGGTAGAGAGAGAGAGGTAGAGAGAGCGAGAGAGGTAGAGAGAGAGAGGTAGAGAGAGAGAGAGGTAGAGAGAGAGAGGTAGAGAGAGAGAGGTAGAGAGAGAGATAGAGAGAGAGGTAGAGAGAGAGGTAGAGAGAGAGATAGAGAGAGGTAGAGAGGGGAAGAGAGAGGTAGAGAGAGAGGTAGAGAGATAGAGAGAGGTAGAGAGATAGAGAGAGGTAGAGAGGGGAAGAGAGAGGTAGAGAGAGGTAGAGAGATAGAGAGAGGTAGAGAGGGGAAGAGAGGGGTAGAGAGAGGTAGAGAGATAGAGAGAGGTAGATCGGGACCAGACCGCCACCCCAGCACCAGCAGCACCACCTTGGTGTAGACGGCCCACGACAGCTCCGTCTCGATCACCATCACCACGATGCCGAACATGCCGAAGATCAGCGCGTAATCGCTGAGCCTCTTGCGCTTCTCGAAGAGCGCCCGACGGTGTCCGAGCTTGTACCCGATGTTCTGGTGCTTCTTCTTGCTCGACTTGTGCCCTCCCTGCGAGACGCCGCCGACGCCGACGCCGCCGCCGACGCCGCCGGTGGCCGACGCCGCGCGCCCAGCGCCGCCCGGCTGCACCGCCGAGCAGCCGGGCTCAGTCCGCGAGGCGCCCCCCGCCGTGGCCGCCGTGGCCACAGCAGCAGCAGCAGCGGCGGAAGCAGCAGCTTCGGTGCCTCCTGCGGACACCGAAGCCGCTGCCGCCGCCGCCGCCGCCGCCGCTGCTGCTGCCGCCGACCCGGTCAGGGAACCCGCGCTGGTGCCCGACGCGGCGCAGTCCGAATCGGCGTCGTGGAGACTCCGTCGCGAGGCGCTGAGGTGGCTCAGAGGCTTCAACGACGCCGCCGTTAAAGCGGCAGCTGCTCATCGCGATCTCCGTGAATGGGTTGCTGTCGCGACGCTGCTGCTGCTGCTGCTGTTGTTGTTGTCTGGTGCAGGTCGTCTGTCCGAACCCGGCATCGCCTCCCACGTTCAGTTGGCTCCCGTGCCTCGAGGCTGCGGGCGAAGGCGACGCGGCGCGATGCTGCAACAGCAGCAGCGCTTTGCCGTCGGCGCGTGCCGAACCTCCCGCAGCAGCGCCGCCGCCGCCGCCGCATTCATAGCGGACGCGTACGTCCTGTCCCGACTCGCTGAAGTCGTAGAGCAGGAGCGGCTCTTCCATGCTTGCCGCCACGCGCTCTCCACCTCCTCCACCACCACCGCCTCCTCCTCCACCTCCTCCACCTGCTGCTGCTGCCGCTGCCTCCTCCTCTTCGGTGACGGCGTCGGCTCCAGCCCGACGCTCCGCAGGCCCCGCCCCCACGAGGCGGGACCCCGCAGGCTCCGCCCCCACGAGGCGGGACCCCGCAGGCTCCGCCCCCACGAGGCGGGACCCCGCAGGCTCCGCCCAGTGCCGGTGCGGTCCGTAGCGGCGGCGGCGGTGGCGGTGTTGGCCGCCTCCGCCGCCTCCGCCGCGGCCGCCGCCGCCGCTGCCGCCGCCGCTGCTGTTGGTGGTGGTGGTGGCAGCGCCACCTGTGGAGTCGAAGCGACGCGTCCGGTTGGTGGGGCGGACGAGCACCACGGGCATGGCGCGGGAGGTTGGTGGTCCGGCCGGAGCCGCGCTGATCAGGATGACGGGGTCGTGCCGCGTCTTGCCATGCCCCCCACGGTGGTCCTGCTGCTGCTGCTGGTGGTGGTGGTGCTGGTGGTGGTGGGCGACGTGGGGCGGCTGGGTTGTGGTGGCCACGCAAACACCTGTGGCCGGTGACAAGGTGATCCAAAGTCGGGCGAAACCGTCGGGCAATGCGTTGCAGCTGCCGAAATGCCTGCAGCGTCACGTCTGGCTAAGCTATCCGACTTATGTGCGATGCCGCAACATTTATTTTAGGTTGTAAAAATAAAAATCATTTTCAAGGAGAGGTAATGTCAAACCTGTTTTTGGGGTTTCTCAGCGGTGTTTTTCGCCACCGCATATTTCCCTTGAGACCACAGTTATTGCAAGCTGACCGCACAGATTCAGTGCTGTTCGTAAACAAATCAGGTGTAGGCCCAAGTAAACATAATGAAGACAAAAGTCTGTTGTCATCTTGACAAATGTCCTTTGAATTATCATTTGTCACGGTAAGTCTATAGCCAGATGAAGGCCTCCCCAAACCATTGTCATGTCTGAGCAAAAACAAAACGGATGAATATTTAATACAAATACTATTGAAGGCAGAACATGCGTACATTTCATCATCAGTCACGATCTATCAACTGCTGGATCAAAGCCTCCCCAAGTCGCCACATCGCACTGGCTTGCAATCTAACAAACTATTTAGCATCTGCACATGAGCTGATTTCATTGCTCCGTTTAGGCCAACACTCGCTATTGTAGAACATTCGCCATCCCAGCTCGCAATAATTCCTGCCAAATAAGCATTAATCTGTCCATAATTTGGATACGTTTGAGCTTTTCCATATATCTTTGTCAACGTCCATATTTCTTATCCATGTCAGAGCAGGTAATATACACGCAGCAGATGGCGACGATTGAGTTTCATTGTTCGCCCTGGATGGATGAAAGTAGGGCACAGTGTTCAAAAGTGTTATCCTCCAGTTTTACAACGTGGCCCACAGACAGAGAAGCCTTGAGCAGATACTCTGGTTCTTTCGGTAAAGTCACGTAGGTAAAGAAAATAAAATAAAAGATCGGCATCTCTATTATTTTATTTTCTTCACCTACGTGACTTTACCGAAATAACCACAGTATGGATCCTTGCAGTCACGAAAACTTCAAACCTTGGGCAGATGATGTCACTGATGGCAGGAAGACCATATGATGCCAAGTAGCTGTTGAAAGCTGTGCGATCTCTGGCGAAAATTGTGGCCAATATCTTTCACCACAGATGTGCGGCAGTGGATGTTGAGACGTCTGACTCACACGAGCCCACAGGAAAAAAAATGCGCCACCACCACCGTGACAATTTTCTTTCTATTCGTGATTGGTCGTGACTTTTCCCATAAGTGTTTGTGAAATGGCATCCCATTACCCGTGATTTTTCACGGATAACATGAGTCACACGAATAATCCATCCGAGTGTCCGCTGGTTATTTGTTAATTTAAAAAAGCGCTTTAGCACAAGCGGCACTGCCGGTGATCATTCGCTCCACAAGACAATACAGACACTCACAGACAGAGACAACAAGACACGGAGACACAGAGCCATTTACACAGACATGGATATGCACGGAGACAGGCAAAATACAAAGATCCCCCGTGTAGCCTTTACAGACTGTTGGGGGAAGTGCTGTTAGCGAGCACCTACGAAGGCCGGCACGGCACACGAGGGGGTGGGTGGCCAGCACCACGCCCGGTCGCCTTCGTCTCCCAAGTGGCAATGTTTTTACACATCGCACTCGGTACTCAATTGAGGCTGAGTCGACCTAGGGGAGGCCCAGGACCAGTCCAGATAGTCGTTACTGGTGTTGACCGTGAGCGACAGACCAAACAAAGCCACACACACAGACACGGAGATATCCACATACAGAAAAAACACACAGAGACGGAGGCATATAACTACACAGGTACACATGAAGATACAGATACACACACCCACTGCGCTTCAAAGATCGACCCCCAACATCTACTGAAACGTGACTCATTCATGATGCTTTCGCGGATAAGAGTAGTCACGAAGCATGGGCCCCCCACATTATTTCAGATAAGAGGTGCTCTGTACATTATTGGTAAAGCACAGGAATACATATACATATGAACGATAGGCAAGGCAATTGTAGCATAGTTAGTTAAATGTGCTCACTCACCCATGCCCATTTATATTGGCAATTCTGAGCCATACATGGAAATTATAAATAGATATGGTGAGAATCAGTTACATCATAATAACAAGCTATTTCCCACAATGTATTATAACCTATTTGATTCATTTGGATAGGTTTTTGAAGTCCAAGTCCAATAAGTATTTTGAATTCACAACCTGATTTTGAGTCAGGCCTTGCCACAGTGCCTTTTGAAGGAATATAAGACAATGGGCAGATTTCTTATTGTCATTCTTCATGATTTTGGAGGAATTATGGCAGTTTTCCTGCACATTTTTTTTAACCCATTCCGTATTAAAATGTTCAGGGGCTATTCTACTGAGACGAATTAATTTGACACAGGCTCAATCCATACTTGAGGAATCGTTCAAATTGGAGATGAGCTGGATCTCGAGCAGCGCCGAGTAACTGCCGAAACCCTCCACAAACGGTATAACTTTCTGCCAGTGGGAATCACATCAATTGTATGGATGTGTGTGTGGCCTGAGAGGGTATGGTGGCCCACGGCAACCTATCCACGTAGCGATGTGAAGCCACCATCCATCATTCCACAACTATGCACCCTGCAACACAGAGTGACATCTATTCTTACAATAATAATTGAGGTATGTATTGAGCATGAAAATTATTTTAATTAGTGAATCATCACATATTGCGTAATCTAGAAAAGCAATTAAGTTAATAAGCAGATGAACCTACAGTATATACATGAATAAATAAGATACTGTAACTCTACAAAAAATGCAGAATTTCTTATATTTTTTTCAAACAGCAGATGGCAGCATTTGCAAAATAAAAATTTCGCAGTGGCATTAGAGCGTGAACGAGTCAAGGGCAAGGCAGTCGTAACACTTGTGCCTCACAGGAAGAAGGGCATAGGTTTAATTCCCGATTAGAACGACTTATGCGCGGCGTTTTCTGACATAAGAAACAACAACAAAAAACATACAATGTATAGCAACTGGTATTGGCCAAACATGGAAATGCTGAAAAAAATCGCTCAATTGGAATCACAAATAGCAACATCGGCCTCTCCTGTTAAAACTTAGCAGGGCCCTCCTGAAAACGTCTTGAGACTATTTGGGTAAACAAGCCTAATAAAATAAATTGTGGTTTCAATATTATCAGCCACGGTCATTCCACTGCTGAATGAAGGTCTGTCTTAACCTCTTACGAGGTTAAGACAATAAATCTACATAGCATCACTACATCTCCTCGGTGAACGTTTTCTCCAATTATCACGGTTCGCCACGTACGGTGCGAAAGAAGTTCAACACACATACTCTCAGACGTGTTCCATTTTTCCGGGGACAAGCAAAAGCCACGGGGTCGCACTCGTTTCTATCTTCATACCCAATCTCATGAAATGTCCTTCAACATACATCACAATTAGATTCTAAGCTGGCGATTATTTTACGACAATTTAATTTGAGATATATATAAAATCGTCTGTTTTACACACGGGTACAATTGCAACGCTATCTGTGATTGTTCTGCTCCAAGCGCGATCGTGGGCCTCGTGATGCAGCCCCTCCACTGTCCTCACCCATCCGGATAGGGATGGCCGTGGCAATATTTCGGGGGTCCATTTCAGAATCATCATCTGCTAGGAAGTGAATGAATCTGGTTTTTAATAACCCCCACCCCCCCTCTCAAAAAAATAAACTGTTCTTGCAAACCATATATTTTGTTATAGAGTGATTTATTGCTGGATTGATACAGCATGAACAATCCAAGAATTACGTGATAAATCGACGAACGATATACAGAAACAGAATAAACATTAACTATACATTCTGAATATCGTGCTAGCGAATGCAGGCGAGGTTTTCCCCACAAAGCAGCTTGAGAAGAGAAATAATTTTTCTAATAAAAAAATCACTTGTCGATAAATTGTTTTGTTGTGTTTATATATACTTTTTTATATGATTCTTTCGACGTGAATTGCCTAATGAAGATAACATTTTAAATCGTTCATATTAGAAGCCGCTGCAACACAGTCTCAATTTGTGCCTCGGGGAGACTGTGAAGTCGTCCGAGTGAGAGATTTCCCTTCATTCATTGCGATGAGCTTCGCATTTTCGCCACGCCGCTTGAGACATTCAGAGCGGTGAAAAGGGCGCCCATGGCTGTAATGAGAGACGATGTCATAACGCGAGGTCGCGCCGTGCAACTATAGCAGCTCACGGCTTTTGGCAGTGTCAAAGGTGCTGTGTAGTGTGGACTTGAGGGTCATGGGGACAGCATTTGAATGATTTGTTGTATTATTGTATTGTTTATGAATGCCTACCGTTGGTAGACAATACGGTTATCTCATTTTCACGGGAAAGCCAATAACATAACGAGGTTTTTATTAATTACCAACACCATATTTTTCAGAGGTCAATCACAACAGCCCCGCCTAGTGGAAATGTCACGAGCCGTCACTGACCGAATGTGAATTAAAAAAAACTTTAGGATACCAACATTGCATGTACCAATAAAGGTCTTAAACTAACCAATAAATACGCACAATTCACACACCCTCTTAAACGCAAAACGATGAATAATAGCTATTCACACCGATAACTATTTCGTTAAAACCTAACCACCAATCACAAGCCACACAGCACGAACTATTTCGCTACTAACCACCTTACACCAATGATGCTTCAACTCCATATTGTAGTTACGTCGACAGCAACACGAGCGATTAACGTTGACCTGTGTGGCCTTCTCCAGCCATGAAGTGTCTCTATGTGCCACGAGCCTATCCCCTCGACTTGGAGAACGCCGTCTCCTTCCTCACTCGGCGCTCTCGTCGCTGGCCTTGCGTAGGGAACTCTCACGCCACTTTCTTCCGATGGAGGGGACTCTCACGCCACTTTCTTCCGATGGAGGGGACTCGCACGCCTTGCCAGCACCCAAAGTGTCTCCACGTGTCGTTGTTTTGGTGTGCGCAAGTGGGTTTTTCTTTCTCTCTGCCAGTGCCATATTTCGCCACGTGCGTTTCATCAGCAAACGAAAAGTCACTCGTACTCTTTGGTTCTTTCGGTAAAGTCACGTAGGTATAAAATAAAACAAGTAAAATAATAATAAAACATGTATATATCTACGTGACTTTACCGAAAGAACCAAAGAGTATGCGGATCCCTGCAGTCACGGAAACTTTAAATCTAGATTGAAAAGTCACTCCACACTGCTGATATTGTCCACATTTTGCCTGCCGCTGATGCTGTTGCCCACCCTCCCCCCCAAATCACACAAACGATTAACGCCAGACTCGACGGCGCCTATGATCGAGTGCACAGTAGATTCCAAACATTCTGTGACAAGTAACAATTAATACCTCGAATGATGAAAAGGGGAAAAAGAACGACTGCTAATTATATAAATCCGTATAGTTTACACGGATAACAACCAATTTTGTAATTTCGCTTCAAAGATTCAAATCGTTTGTGGCGCTGGAGACGACGCCACTTCGTCAAAAAGCAGAATAGAATCAGAATCCCGTCGTAAACCGAGTCGGCGATCGGTTCTTCTGGGATCGACTTCCCATTTCTGCACCCCCGACTCTCGCCACCCACCTCCATCCACAAAAACCACCACCGCCCCAAACCTCGCCCAACCCGTGTTTGTGCACGCCCTTTGTTCGGCTCACGTTTATAGCGAGCCCAACCCTGTCGTCTTCGTTATATTCCAGTGGTGCGTTTGAAATGGATGTCAAAATGACTTTGTCATCAACCAAGGTCGTTGCCCCAGAAAAAAAAAAATCTAAATTTGAAAACGAATTTCCTGCCATTTTTCTGCCTAAAATATAAAAAAATCAC